CTAGCCGTATGCGCCATGTCTGAGTGAAGTGGGAACACTTCAGGGAGACTGGAGGAAATTTACAAAATCTCACCCAGTGCCGTGGGTCAGGGATGGGGTCACGGAACAAAACATTGCTACATGCCAGCTGAATGCATGAATTGTGGTGATTCCTCGGAAGGAAGATCCTAAGAAATTTGAATTGTGGTGAAAACCACAAATCCAATTTTTGGGATGTAAGCGACAGGTAGGAAACCCTCTATTTTCCCGACCAGGTACTAATTCCTCTGCTGTTAACAACGGTCAGCGAGTAACAAATTCTACATTCGTACCCGTAGGTACAAATATTACCCCTGCTTCAAATTCTTCATCTATACCTGCTCCCCTCGCGGCTAACTATGTTCAGCGAGTAAATGGAGCTAACTATGCTGCTAGAAGTAGAAATTAAAATACTAGTCAACATAATTGTAATAGAAATTTTGATAATTTTCATTTAGGAAGGATTACTGCTCCTAAAATGGATTTTTTTTTTACAGAAATTAGGTTGATGCACCGATTACTGATATGTTAAAAACTAACTCCATGTTTGATGCTATTCAAACTGGAGTAAAATTTGCGAACAATATCGTCATGACTATGGAATTCAGTAATGGATTTTAAAACATTAAATATTTTAAATTGGAATACTCGATCTCTTAAAGATAATGAAGACGAGCTATTTACCTTTTTGAGAGTTCATAACGTGCATATTGCCGTTATAACTGAAACGTTCCTTAAACCCGACCATAAGGTTAAACGCAAATTATTTCATTTATAGAAATGATCGTCTTGATGGACCCTGTGGTGGCGTTGCCATCATTGTTCATAGACGAATCAAACATAAAATTCTTTCATGATTTGAAACCAAAGTTTTTGAAAAATTTGGACAACTTACAATTATAGCTGCCTATTTGCCATTCCAATGCGTAGGTCAGCAAAATAGTTTTCTCAAGGGTGACCTTCAAAAACTTACTCGTCATAGGTCTAAATTCTTCATTATTGGTGATTTTAATGCAAAACACCGCTCATGGAATAATGCGCAAAGCAATTCCAATGGTAATATTCTGTTTGATGATTGTTCAGCAGGTTATTACACTATTCAATATCCAAACAGCCCAACATGCTTTTCTTCTGCAAGAAATCCCTCAACTATCGATTTGGTCTTAACTGATTCATGTCAATTTTGTAGCCAATTGGTTACCCATGCTGACTTCGGTTCTGATCACCTTCCAGTTACTTTTGAAATATCCCAAGAAATAATTTCTTATCTCATTAGCTCCACTTTCAATTACCATAGAGCTGATTGGGAGCAATATCGAACATTTATGGAATATAGCTTTGATTCAAACATTTCTTTGCAAACCAAAAATGAAATTAATTATGCAATTGAATCTCTGACTACTTCTATAGGTGAAGCAAGAGCTGCCTCAGTACCAACATGCGAGGTTAAATTAGATTCAGTTATAATAGACGACGATCTTCGGCTCTTGATCCGTCTGAAAAATGTCCGTAGGAGGCAACACATAAAAAAACACGCGATCCTGCCTTGAAATTTATCTGGCGGGATTTGCAAAGACAAATTAAAAGCGGTATAGAAATACCCTCAGGAACAAAACTTTTGAAAATAATGTGTCAAAATTAGACCCAAGCTTGGAAGCTCCCAAAAAATTTAAAAAAATCTCAAAATCCTTCTCCATCGCTTTTTTTTTCCTATGTTGGGTACATTTTTCCACTGCGACCAGTTATTTGATCTATTGTGGCGGGCCCCGGTTTAATGTATGCCACATCAGGGTGTTGTATCACTATTTGTTTGAGTGATTTCCACTAGCTGACTATAGGCGTTGTCCCAGTAAGGTATTATAGAACGAATGAACTTTATTGCCTTACTGGCAGAAGTCATCCATACTTCTGAGGGCTGTATTAAACCCTTATCGAAAAATGTTTTCCTTTTATGAAAAAGTGCTGCACAGTTACATAGTAAATGTTCCGAGTTTTCACTCTCTAGGTTGCAGAATCGACACTTGTCATCTTCCAATTTGCCTAGCTGTTTTAAATAATATTTACTTGAACAGTGGCCCGTAACTAGGCCGCTAAAAGTACATAGATCAGTGTTCACTCGGCTGTCGACAAAAGCAGGCCACTCTCGATGTGTGCTACGCGATCGTCTGTTTTCTCGGCAGCAACCATTGTGTGGTCCTCCTCATTGTTCTTCATCAGCAGTTCTTTCGGTCGATGCGTCGTCGACTTTGGAAAGCAACCGTTTCGTGATCAGTGTGTGAGTGCTGACCACGTTTTGCGTCCATTGTTGCAATGGACGCTCTCTGACCCTCGTTGGCGTACAACAATTTGCCATACAATGAAACTACTGGAAGCGGCTCCAGTTCTGATGGAGGAGGCTTTTTGGATAGCGGAAGATAAAGTGTTTATTGTGTTGTACCTTTTGACTATAGTTTTAAGATGTATTGTATAGTGACCAAGAATCCTCGGCTCTGTAAAGTTAATTCGGTTGAGCCTTATCAAATAAATTAATAAAAAGAAAAGTACATAGATCTTTTTTGGAGAGATTACGAAGTCTTTGAGATGCTTCTTTATTAGGTGATATAAATCTTTTGGACTGTCGACCTGTTTTAGTGTTTTTTTTCCAAATGTTATCTATCATCGATTTTTTCCAGTTTTTTAGTTCCATTTTGAGGGTACATTCTGAGGCCCCGCAAAATGGTTCTGGACCTAGGAATGGTTTTGATGATCCCAATCTTGCTAATAAATCTGCCTTTTCATTACCTTCAACCCCACAGTGCTCAGGTACCCAAAATAAGTTAACTGTACTATTTTTAGCCACCAGCTGTAGTAATTGAATGCATTCCCAAGCCAGTTTAGAAGAACATGTAACTGACCTCAATGCTTTTAGGGCAGCTTGACTGTCAGAGAAAATATATATATTTGTATGTTTGTAATTACGACGTAAACAAACCGTAGCACATTCAATAATTGCCTGTATTTCTGCTTGAAATACGGTTGGCCACTTACCCATAGATATTGATATGTTGACACCAGAACCCGTTACCCCAGCGCCAACTCTGTTGTTTAATTTGGAGCCATCAGTGTAGAAAATTACTGATCCTGGTTGAATATTAGGTCCTCCTGATTCCCATTCAGTGCGACTAGGTTCAGTGACGTTGAATAATCTTTCAAAGTTATACTGTCTATTCATCCATTAATTTTAAATTCCTTCAAAATACTGAAATGACCCCTAAGGTCCCCATCAAAAAACTGTTTTGTTCTTTTTAACCTTAGTGCGTTTTTTACGGCTTCTAACTGCACAAATATATGTAAGGGAAGAAGATTTAACATTGTATCTAGCGCTTTAGAGGGCGTGCTACGAACTGCTCCTGTGATGGAAATTGTAGCAAGTCTTTGTAACTTTTCGAGTTTTTTTTTTGAGCATATTTAACTTTTGTTTTTGGCCACCAAACTAATGATGCATATGTTATTCTGGGTCTTATTATAGCCTTATAGATCCAATCGATCATTTTAGGTTTCAGTCGCCATTTATTGCCAAATGTTTTTTTGCTTATCCATAGGGCATTTGTAGCCTTACTTATTATTTTATTCAAATGTAAGTTCCAATTGAGTTTGTTATCAAGAATTACTCCCAGATACTTAACCTTTTGAGAAAGGATTAATTTAGTATCCTCCAAGTGCAAATCTGGTAGCTTAAAGAAGGTGGTAAAATTTTGATCACAAATCCGGAAAAAGCTCAGAAACTTGCTAAGCAATTCATGAATTCCCATAATTTCAGTTTGGGTCTTACTAATCCTATTGAGAATCAGGTTGCTCGGGATTATCTGAATATTTTCTCTCGGGAAAATATTTTCGATGATTCCTGGGGGACAATTTTCGTGACTTGTACGAGGGTGAGATTTGAACTCGTGACTTTAAGCGTAAGAGGTATGGATGTTAACCACTACGGTCGATTTAGACGAAGTAAGATCCATAACTGAAAAGTTTCAAAATATGAAAGCTCCTAGTGATGATGGAATTTTCTATATCCTCGTCAAAAAACTCCCAGAGAGTACATTGTCTTTCTTGGTTAAATTATTTAACAGATGTTTCCATAAATGGAAAAATGCAAAAGTTGTTCCAATTTTGAAGCCTGATAAAAATCCAGCTGAAGCTTCGAGCTACCGTCCAATAAGTTTGCTTTCTTAAATAAGTAAACATTTTGAAAAGATAATTTTAAATAGAATAATGCTTCACAACAATACGAACTCAATTTTTGCAGATGAGCAGTTTGGATTTCGCCATGGGCATTCAACTACTCATCAACTCTTAAGAGTTACCAATTAAAGGTGTTGCCTTGTAGAGTCAATTTTTCCATCCTACCTCGCAATTTCAAGAGCACACAACTCAAAATCTACGAGGTTTATACATCTGCAAATTTCAGACATTGCTTGCTCCTCCACAGCAAACAACAAGTAGTAGTTTCAGCTACGTGCATTCACAGAAACCTTAATATGCTTACATGTGAAGATGCGAAGTGTAACACGTGTAGCATTGAAAAAGCATTCCACGTTGTTTGGCATGAAGGTGTGATTGCCAAATTGAAAAAAAGCTTAATTTTCCACTCTATATTATGAAACTTAGTTCAAAATTATTTAAATGCTCTGCAGAAACAGAAATCTGACCGACTACCTGTTAGAGCTGGAGTTCCTCAGGGGAGCATTCTTGGGCCTATATTGCATAGCATTTTCACTTCGGACCTCCCTGATTTGCCTCAGGGTTGCCGCAACTCTTTGTTCGCCGATGACAAAGGCATTTCCGTTAATAGGAAACAATCAAACACATTGATATGTGTGACTTACGCAGACAAAATACTTTTAGGACTGTGGACGCTGCTATGATTAACGAGAACCTTTCTTTCATGTCCTTTCATGGTGGAACATCATTCGAAGATTGTGAACTGTCCTAATTCAAACGCACCGTTTAATATACTCAGTTCATATTTATTCTATATCAATCCATACTTGTCTGTCATTCAACAAAAATAATAGAGAAAATTAAACACGAAGGCAAAACTTAGAATCGTATAATGGTGGGTATCGTTTAACTTGGCTTCCATCCTCTTACTTGTATTTAGTTACACCTAATGGTTCACCTGTTGATGATTATTTCGTCTACACAGATTATAGCCGCCCGCTTAATCCTAATCTTTGTTTCAATTCTCTACTAGTCTCCATCTGTATCTGATTTTTTAAAACCTCTATGACACATCACTTTCTGTTTTCTCTTTTTACGCTTTTTGGAGGATAAATGGGGAAGGATCAACAACGTTTCTAAAACCTATCAACATACAATTATAGATAATAAGTCAATTCGTTTGACGAAACGTTCCGCTCCGGAACTGCATTTTTCTTTGTTCTGTTTACATTTTCCGTTTACATGCTATAATTTTCACTCGCTTTATGATTTACTCTTACTCTTTGTCTGCATCTAATTTACTACTTTCGTTATTTTTTCTTCGGATATTTCCATTACATTTAGCTTTTCTTTATTGTCTACTCTTCTAGATGTGTGTAGGTTTAGTCTGTTTGGTTTTTGCTATCGCTTTCGAAAAAGATGCTACTGCAACGGGAAGAAGGTTAGATTCTACGGTTTTAAAAGTACGTTTCTGCTAGAGTGAAGGTTAAAAAACCGCTGAAAAATGTCCAATTATTATGCATCTGATGGATGCAACGGATCCGGTTTCGATTTCGATTGCTCACGACGATAGTGATTCGTTGCTAAAGTGTTACTTAAAAAACTTAGTCTCTCGAGGCTGATGATATGGGGACGAGGGAGAGGAGCCAGAATAAGTAGCTGCATCTTGTCCTCGCTGATAATTGTGTTTGATTTTTTGTTGTTTGTTTTTTTTTCTAGTTTAAAAATGGCAAAAGAGCAAAGCTGCAGTTGCTGACAGTTCGGTTGATCATTGTTCTTAAAAAAATATTCATTTCCAAGTGTGGACTATGTGGCTCACTGATAAGTAGAATTCAAAGATATGTGTTTGCCACTACAGATGTTTGGTTTTGTTTTCTAAGTCGGCCTAAGGCTTAAAACACTAATCTATGACTGGAAGCGGAAATGGTAGACTTTTGAGAACATGATGACTTGGTTTTGAAGTGTGAAGGTGCCACACGATATTATTGATAAGTAATTTTTTTTACAAAGGCCTGTTGTGGCTTTGTTGAAGATTTTGAGAAGTTAAAACTTCATTAAAACCTTCACAAAGCCAATCACACAGCATAGAGTAAGTTCTTTGTCTTCGTTAAATTCTACTTATTTGATAAATAATAATCCTAACTCGAATGGAACATAACCAAAAAGCAATTCACTAATACTTAACAGTCTTGCGTTGAAGCCAAATATGGAGACGTCTGGTGTTTGGTGTGCTTTCGTCGTCGGTTAAAAACGATGCGTTGTACCAGTGATGTTTTTTGTATTGTTTTGAGCATGTAGGATTTTTTTTTCACACAAATTGCTCTCACGTCTTAACTTCTGTAATTTACACAACATTGGAAGAATTCAGGATTTGCTCACTATTCGGGAAAACGGTGCGGTTCCTTTACTTCTAGTTCGGGAACCGCGCTCACAGGAACGAGCAAATGGTGAATAATACTGCTACCATGAAGAACATGAGGACCACATCCCTCCGTAGGTTCCGGTCCCGGTAGAAAGGTCGCGTGCTGAAGCTTTCCTTGCGCGTTTGCCGCAGCAGCCACAGCGGAAGCATCAGATGCATCACATCCGGGATCATGAAGCCCAAGTCGCGGACGACCTAGAATGAAAATGGATCTTAAGGTCTTCGTTCAAGTTAATCCGAACCAGCCTAATACCTGATGGGGATATCCTTCGCCCCGAAACACATTTGATATGAACTGATCCACCCCGCTGGCTAGGATGTGCAGGATAGCGATGCCCACGATGGCCAGCGTTTTCCGTGATGTCACCACGTTTTCCACATTGGCTAGATGTAACACGACGCTGGTTGATATGAGTTCCGTAATCTAGGATCGAAACAGATTGAAAAATGCTCCACTCCACGATCAGTTCACCTAACAACTCACCGTAAAAAACAACTGGTGATTCCACTGGTTGTAGTACTCGTCGTTGTAGTAATTGAGATATGCCCACCAGGCATAGTAATGCGAGAAGATCGACAGCATGAACAGCACGATCATCGTGTAGCGGACCCGGTTCTGCAGCAGCAGCTGCGTTAGGTATTTGGTACACTCGTACAGGGCGATCACGCCGACCACGATCAGCAGCCACATCTTCATCGTGTTCTGGGTGGCGTTGAAGTACATGTGCTTGTAGGAGGCGATTCCGGATTCGTACGTTCCTACGGAGGATACAAACGGTGAACCAAAAGTCTGGGTTACAGTATTTCCGAAAGCATACCTTTAAACACCGTATCCCAGCAGGAACAGGAGCAGAACCGCTTGTCCACGTAGCGGGAGTAGTTTTGCCAAAAGTACCACAGGACGGCGATGTGTGCTGGGGGAATTAGGGCCGGTCCAAGGCTACCGCAGGCCCCCGGCAGCCAGCGAAGGATGTCCATCATCATCATCGTGTCGTGTACTTCTTAGGTTGTGCCCGAGGAATTCTGCAATGGGATAAGGTTTATGATAAAAGTGATGAGTTTCTGAATTAGACCTGCGCGCCACACAGTGGTTACAAAGGGCGATTACACTAGTTTACACATTTTTTTATTAATTACTTTATTTGTACAGGCTCAATCGAATAAACTTTACAGAGCCGAGTTATCATTTTTGTTATACATTATTGATTTCTTATATTTAAAGTTAAAGGAGCTGGACCGGATACTCGCGGTTGTCTCGAGGTTAGTGGGGATTTACAATTTTTTTTGGATGGGAAAAGGGAGAGGGAGGTTTGAAATGTGGTTTACGATACAAATATTTAATTAATCCTAAAACATGAACTAATTTCTATTCATCTTGAAAACAAACATAAAAAAAAACCCACACGTACAAAATACAAACTAAACACAAGGTTAATAAAACTTACAATCTAATGTTAATATTCTTAAAGTAAACATATATGAGTTTCATAAACTCCAGATCGCGTCTAGCCAAAATATCCCGCACTGGAACATTAGGTTGTCTACCTCGAGCCCGAAGGCAATCGTACAGTTCAGATCTGACTCCGCGATGCTCAGCACAAGACCAAATAATGTGATCTGCGTCCTGGTAACCTTGTCCACATTCACAGAGACTGCTGTCCTTCAGCCCAATACGGAACAAGTGAGCGTTTAACGAATAGTGATTGGACATGAGGCGAGACATCATACGAATGAAGTCTCGACCCACATCCAACCCCTTGAACCAAGAACTCTTCGACACCTTAGGGATGATCGAATATAGCCATCGTCCCAAACTCCCTTTACTCCACTTATTCTGCCAGCTGACGAGTGACTGTTGACGATAAATGAAGAAAAATTCATCGTAGGCGATTTGTCGATCGTAAATATCGCCTTCCATAGCACCCACCTTAGCAAGCGAGTCAGCCATCTCATTGCCCGGAATCGAGCAATGAGATGGGACCCATGCAAAGGTTATGACAAAAGATCTTAAAGATAAAGCACTTAAAAGCTCTCGTATTTTCATGAGAAAATACGAGGAGTGCTTTACCGGCCTCATAGAGCGAATAGCCTCGACAGAACTGAGACTATCCGTAAAAATAAAATAATGATCTGGTGCAAGTGAGGCGATCGTTTCTAGCGTATAATGTATTGCCGCCAGCTCAGCAACATATATGGAACAAGGAGCTTGAAGCATTCGAGAGGCGCTATGAAATTCGTTAAAAATACCAAAACCAGCGGACGACTCTATTAGTGATCCATCTGTGAAGAACGATCTTGCGGAATCAACTTGGCCAAACTTTGCAGCGTAAATTGACGGAACAATCATGGAACGATGATATTCTGGGATCCCACGAATCTCCCGCGTCATAGATAAATCAAAACTAACTGAATTGCCGAAGTCGGAGAAGCATACACGATGAGGATTATGCTGTGAAGGGCTGACATCCTGTGTTATGTACACGTAGTACAATGACATAAAACGAGTTTGAGGGTTCAGCTCAAGAAGCTTTTCAAAGTTTTCGATTACCAGTGGGTTCATAACTTCGCAACGGGTGAGGAGCCTGAGGGACAATTCCGAGAACCGATCCGATAGTGGCAACATGCCCGCCAACACTTCGAGACTCATCGTATGAGTCGAGTGCATGCATCCTAACGCGATACGAAGACAACGATACTGGATACGTTCCAGTTTGATGATGTGAGTTTTAGCCGCCGACTGGAAACAAAAACTACCGTATTCTAAAACCGATAAAATCGTTGTCCGGTACAACGTTAGAAGATCTTGCGGATGGGCTCCCCACCACGTTCCGGTAATTGTTCGGAGAAAATTGATCCTTTGTTGGCATTTTCGTCTCAGATACTCAATGTGGGATCTCCAGGTGCATTTTGAATCGAACCAGACCCCAAGATATTTGAAGGACATAGAATGAGTGATCGGTTTACCCAAAAGTTGAAGCTTTGGTTGTGCTGGGCTATGCTTCCTAGAAAAAACGACCAACTCAGTTTTCTCCGTGGAGAATTCGATACCTAGCTGAATAGCCCAAGTAGACAAATTGTCTAAGGTATCCTGTAAGGGTCCTTGCAGGTCGACCCCTTTGGGCCCTGTCATAGACACTACGCCGTCATCTGCAAGTTGTCTCAACGTGCAGTTGTCACTTAGACAATTATCAATTTCTCTGACGTAGAAATTATACAAAAGGGGGCTTAAACATGAGCCCTGGGGGAGACCCATGTAGCTAAATCGAGAAGCTGTAGAGTTTCCATGAGAAAAGCTCATATGTTTCTCTGACAGCAAATTGTACAAAAAGTTATTTATTAATGGAGAAAGGCCACAAGCGTGGAGTTTGTCTGAAAGGACTTCAACCGATACTGAATCAAAAGCCCCCTTAATATCCAAGAACACAGAAGCCATTTGCTCTTTTTTAGCAAAAGCCAACTGGATTTCTGTGGAAAGCAACGCGAGACAGTCGTTCGTTCCCTTACCCCTACGGAAACCAAATTGAGTATCTGAGAGTAGGTGGTTCGTCTCAACCCATTTGTCGAGGCGAAAAAGGATCATTTTCTCCAACAATTTTCGAATGCACGATAACATCGCGATGGGACGATACGAGTTATGATCTGACGCGGGTTTTCCAGGCTTTTTAATGGCTATAACTCTCACTCGCCTCCAATCATCTGGAACAATATTGAACTCCAGGAACTGACAAAACAAGTTCAACATGCGCCTCTTAGCGACGTCTGGGAGGTTCTTCAACAAGTCGAACTTGATCCTATCAGCCCCCGGAGCCGAATTGCGACACGAAAGGAGCGCGAGTGAGAGCTCCAGCATTGAAAAAGGCTGGCTGATCTCGTCTACCGAATTCGTCGTTTCGCGAGGAATCATCTGTGCCGGCACGGAATCAGGACATACTTTTCGCGCGAACTTGAGAATCCACTGATCCGAGTACTCCTCGCTCTCGTTGTTTGAAGACCGGTTACGCATCCTTCGCGCCGTGTTCCAAAGCGTATTCATCGACGTTTCGCGCGATAAACCGTCCACGAATTGCCGCCAGTATCCGCGTTTCTTGGCTTTGATGAGGCTCTTGAGTTCGTGTTCAAGAGTCGAGTACGCTTCGAAATACTCGGGTGTTCCGCGTTTCCGGAAAAGCTTAAACGCGTCGGACTTTTTACGATAAACCTCAGTGCATTGCTGGTCCCACCAAGGGGTAGGAGGTTTCCTACGAAAAGACGTTCCTGGAACCGGCCGAGTTTGAGCTCGAAGCGCGCTGTCCAAGATCAGATTGGAGAGGAAGTTATATTCCTCCAACGGTGGAAGCTCTTCTACCGACGACACGGCTTCATCTATCGCGGTCTTGAACGTTGTCCAATCGATATTACGGGTGAGGTCGTACGCGACGTTAATGGATTCCGACGGATTGAACCCACTGGCAATCGAAATTTTGATCGGCAAGTGATCACTACCGTGGGGATCCTGGATCACATTCCACGTGCAATCCAACGATAATGAATTAGAGCAAAGTGTGAGGTCTAATCTACTTCCATTTGAGGATGGACCAGCCAGACGTGTTACTTCTCCATTGTTAAGAATTGTCATATTGAAGTTATCACAGAGGTCATATATCAAAGTAGAACGGTTGTCATCATACAGTTCCCCCCAGCCTGTACCGTGGGAATTAAAATCTCCCATAATCAACCGTGGAGTAGGAAGAACTGAACAGATATCTGAAAGTTGTTTTTGACTAATCGAAACTCGGGGAGGAATATACACAGAAGCAATACAAAGGCTCTTGCCTTTAACAAAAGCCTGACATGCGACAACTTCAATACCTGGAAATTGTGGAAGATTCACTCTATAGAAGGAATGGCACTTTTTTATCCCCAAAAGTACTCCTCCTCCACGCGAATCCTCACGATCCAGTCGAATAATGTTAAAATCATGAAAAGGAAGATCGATATCTGAAGAGAGCCAAGTTTCACACAGAGCAAATGCATCACAATCATTATTGTGAACCAAAAACTTAAACGATTCTATCTTAGGAATAAGACTTCGACAATTCCACTGTAGAACAGTGATCAAATCCCCGACCTCGTTTGGAAAATTATCCATCGAAGGAGATGATTGCTGCAAGGAGGGGCCACTTCAATGTCAACTGCTTCAAGAGGGTTTTCACAGTAGGAAGCATTGCCAGAACAATGCTTTTCAGAGAATCAGAAATATCGAGGTAATTGAGGATACTGTCCACAATGTTATCAAATGAGAACAACCCAGATGAAGAAGGGGCTTGTGTTCTGAAAATTGGGGCATCGGGGGTTTTGGATGTCCCCGGGAGAGGTGGAAAATCCTGGGTATAATCAGTTCTGCGGAATCCAGGAGGAGTAGAAGTCTCCTTTTTTCCACCACTCCTTGATTTGGGCAAGCTGATTTGGGGTTCTTGATCTGCAACTTTCCGCGAACGGATGCGTTTTCGTTTCCGGGCAGAACCTTCCGGAAAACTGAAAGAAACTCCCTCCTCAGCCAAGTCAGAGCCAGACTCATCATCTGACAAAAGAGCGAAGGGATTTGTTTCGTTGGTCGATGGCTTGGCTGTCTTAAGCATTTCTGCAAAAGACCGCCTGGAACGTTCTTTAAGAGAGCGCTCTAGTTTTTCCCCGCGTTGTTTGTACACCGGACACGACGAGAGACCATGAGGAGGAGATCCTTTGCAGTACACGCATTTTGGTGCCGTGACTGTGCAGGCGCCATCCTCGTGCTTCTCCCCGCATTTGGAACAGCGTGCCTTGCTGCCACAGTGAGAGGCCGTATGTCCCAACTGTTTGCAGTTTTGGCAGATCATGACCCGAGGAACAAACAAGCGCACAGGTAGCCGAAGTTTTCCCAACTCGATGTACTGAGGAAGGGCTGAACCAGAAAAGGTCACGCGAAACGAGTCTGTGGGGGTAAAACTCTTTTTACCCTCGCTGACAGATACTGAGCCCAGTTTTTGGACATCCAGTATCTTCAC